AGTCGAGGGTCAAGTGAGTCGAACCGACGAACGTTACTTGTTTTTTTTCGTTTCCCTAAATTATTTTTTTAAGGTTCTCTCGAAGACTGCAACACCGAATATGTTCGATTAACTCGTGTATCACAAAATGAAACAGATGAACAAGACGAAGGTAACACATTAACCTCGATGTTTCATTCTTAAATATATTACGATTTTTGAATCTTTTAGATGATTTCGAAAATAATCAAATGACCGTCGACGATTCGGTCATGAAAGATGATATGTATTCAAAAATTGATTTATTAAATTTTTCACCATCAAGTTCACCAACATCACAAATTTTACCGACTACTCAATCACCACAAAAACAATCTGATAAAGGTTAGTCTCCTTTTTTTCAATGAATATTGAATTATTGTAATATGTTGAATCTTATCTCTTCGCTATATCAACACGGCCTGCCACTTTATAACAAATAATAACAAAAATTTTCAATTTCTCTAGCTGACTTTTCTTCCGTTGCATGCAGAAAAACTATAAGTGTGATGTTTTTTACCGTAATAGAAACCTATAGATGCAAAACTATTTTTCATTTATCCTGAGTAACGTAATTTATTGTTTACTGATTTAACAAAGGCGTCTTGGTGCAGTCGAGCCTTTTTATCTGATTTAGTTGTTAAAAATGTCATTTATCTTATGTCGTTTTATAGAAGAAGACACATCTACTGATGATGAAGAAATAGCATTTTTTGATTGCCGTAAACGACCTCACAAACAGTCCTTAGAAACAACATCCAAAAAGAAGAAGAACATACAACAGAAAACATTAACAAAACATCTTTCAACAAATTTAAGTGAGTTGAAACAACATTGTTATTTATTTATACACTTGTAATTTTAGATGATCAAAATGTGGAATTTGATGTAACTGATCGTATTCATATCAACAATAAAAGCAAATCAAAAATTGAAACAAGTCAGTTCCTAGCTATTAGTACGTGCGAGAAATAATCGCCATTTCTTTTATTGTAGATTCTACTATCTTGGATAGAATTGAAAATCAATTTAGTGAATTAAGTCAAAAATTGGTATCAAATTCATCCAAAACTGATCAACAAATGCAACGGCTAAACGTCAAAATTGAACGATTGGTTTCAAATGTTAATGTTGTGAGTTACGTTTAAGAAAAAATATTTCACTATCGTCTGTTTCCATTGTAATGAAAACTTTTTTTTTAAGAATAATCATGCTCTCGAATCGTACATTGACAAATCAGGTGAACATTTTCCAACTGAATTGGTGAGTTTACGTTCGATACATTAACCATTCAGATGTTGCATTTTTTCTTTCTATTTAGATTTTTAACAAGATTAATTTACTTGATGTTATGGCGACGGATTACGGCGATTATGCTCGACAAATTTTACGAATAATTTTTACCAGTGGTGAATTAAAGAATTGTATTCTTCCACCAGGTAGACCACATCTTGCACGTAAACCATTGGATCAAGAACGATTCAAAACTTTTACAAGTAAGTAAACATCTTCAGTTTATTCTTCTTGCTTATGAGAACTTCTCGTTTTACATATAGATGCTATTCGTTACAAGTTCAAATTGAATTCAATCAACTTTGGTCTGTTCTATCGAGGACTCTTACGAAGAAAACTCACGGATTTCTTAATAGAAGAACGCCGGCGTGAATCTATAAAACAGGCTCGACGATCACTTAAACAAAATGAAGCACAAAGAAGAAACCAATCAAATTTAGAAGAAATACTCGACTGAAACTTTGTTTTTTTTTTCATGTTTTTATTTTATGTATTGTCTCGAACTATTGCATTATTATCTATACAGAATAATACTTGAAATAAACATATATTATAATTATGAAAAATCGCTTAAAACCATAATAAAACGCCTAAAATTGCTCCATTTGCCACACACAATACTGATCATATACAGATGTTTGCAAAAAAAACTTGCACATCTTTTTATACAGTTATTATCTTATATAGATGTCCTCTTCAAATCATTTTATATTGTAGTTGATAGTCCATGAAGAGTACTATGAAGTAGTACAATTTGATATTTCGTTTGGTTACCTTTAGAGGAAATAGAAAACAAAAATCTTTTTTTCTTGGACAAGGCAAAATTATTTACAACACAAATTTCAACATTTTTAACGTCTTCACCTAAAAAATGATGGGGTTCACCATTTTTTTTTTTGAATTTATTTTCTCAACATTATAGTTTATGGCTGATCGTAGATTCCTATGAAGTTAATATTCAAGGTATCAGGTGAGTACTCGAGTATTTATGGTGTAATAATGTTAACGAATTGTTCAATGATATGACTGATACATTTTCAGCCATTTTCCTCATTAGAAACGCCCTTGATGATAAAGCTTTTCTTCGGTGATATCGGTCTTTTAATCGCTTGCACCTAACAGCAAAAAAAAAAAGGTAACTTTCAAGCATATAAACTTAATAAACGCCATCAGAACTGCATCTCAATGTATAACAAGATTATTGAGAACGACAAATCAAACGGTAAATATGAACTTGTTTAGATAAATTTTCTTTTTATCTTTAGATTATTTATAATGATGTATAGAATTTATAATTATATATAGAACAGAAAGTAATTTTTTATTTAAATAATTTTTTTTTCTTTTTAGATTAATTAGAACGACAAATCAAATGGTAGGTATGAATTTGTTTAAATAAAATTTCTTTTTGTTTTTAGATTATTGATAATGATATGTCGAACAGTAAGTAATTTTTTATTTTAAATAATTTTTTATTTTTACATTAGTGAGAACGACAAATCCAATAGTAAGTATCGATTTATTTGAATAAATTTTATTTTTATTTTTAGATGATTTATAAATTTTATTTTTATTTTTAGATGATTTATAAATTTTATTTTTATTTTTAGATGATTTATGTATTTTATTTTTATTTTTAGATTAATAAGAAGGACAGATCAAAATATAAATGTTAATATTAATTAATGTGGGTGCTCAGCCTGGCTGAAGGTTTCATTTCTTTTTTCCTGATGCAGCTCCAATGATATATCAAATAAATATTAATGTTTCAAAAGCTTTTGAAACATTAATATTTATTTGATATATCATTGGAGCTGCATCAGGAAAAAAGAAATGAAACCTTCAGCCAGGCTGAGCACCCACATTAATTAGTTTTTGTGTTATTTTGAGAGCGGAGGGGGGAGGGCAAATTGAAAAACCTTAGATGGAATACGGTAACAAACGACATTGTATACGACCATTTACGATCGTTTACGGTGGTCATATAGACGTCGTATTTCGCCGTATACGACACGACGATATACGGTCGTAATTCTGGCGTCAAGTAATACGACGAAATACGGTCGTATACGATCGTAATATACGCCGTATACGACCGTACACGATCGGATACGCCGTCGTATACGATCGTTTACGACTGTCGTAATCCTCGTCCTGGGTGGTGATTTTTATCGATAATAGTGACGTTATTATCTATCTTTCTTTCTTTAATGATGATTTTCACTTATCAATAATACTGATATTGTTACTTATCCATTTTGACTATGGTGGTGAGTATTACTTATTGATAATACTAATGTTGTGATTTATCTATTTTTTTCAAAAGGAGTGTTTATATATCGATAATATTGGTGTTGTTATTTATCTATTTTAACTATAGTAATAAGTATTGCTTATTGATAATATTGATATTGTTATTTATCTATTATTCGTTACTGGTGGTTTTTATCGATTATAGTGGTGTTATTATCTATCTTTTTTTAGTGATGATTTTCACTTATCAATAATATTGATATTGTTACTTATCCATTTTGACTATAGTGGTGAGTATTACCTATTGCTAATACTGATGTTGTGATTTATCTATTTGTCTTCAGTTGTGGTTTTAATTTATCAATAACATAGGTGTTGTTATTTATTTGGTTTTGTTTGGTTTTGGTTTTTACTTATTGATAAGATTGGTGTTGTTATTTATTCATTTTTCTTTTGTGGTGAATATTACTTATTGATAATATTGATATTGTTATTTATCTATTTTAAGTATAGTAATAAGTATTGCGCATTGATAATATTGATATTGTCATTTATCTATTATTGTTTACTGGTGA